CTATATTGCATGTTGTGTCAGCTGATAATTGTTGTTGCATTGTAACTTTGTTCATAACTGTTATTTTTAAGTGTACATGTTGTAATGTAACAATGTTGGTAGACCTAATAAATAAAATAAAATAAAATAAAATAAAATAAATAAAAAATATGTACTTGGCGATAGTTGCAACTTAAGTGGGTGCCAATAAAGAATCTAATGTTTTATGCTCAGATAGAGAACAAATTGACTCTAAGCTCAGTCTTTCAGCACAATTTTCCCAAATCTCAGAATACTGTTCTCCCCATGCCAAATGCAGTGAAGCCATGGCCCATGCCGTATGATACCGCTCCGCTCGTGCCGGTGACGTTTTCATTAGTTCGCCAAGTTGTAAAGCGCAATTTACTGGCTCGAGCGATGCGCCGCGCAACATGCGAAATGTCCATTTAGAGAGTTAATAAAAATGTTAAGAAACAGCTCAAATTACGTTGCAAACATTCCGTATAATTGAAAATTAATCTTTTTTCATTATTTAGATAAATAATAGCGTTCTGCAACAAACCGCCGTGATAGTTCAAAAGCTACTTCTAGGAGAAAAGTGCAAACATATTTCTCGAGGGATATGGGACGGCATCTTTCAGTGACAAATCGTACTGCACATTTTCTTAGCTTCTCAGCACTCGATCCTTGTTGATCGTATTTCAGCTCTATCCGTCTCTTTTGCTTATCTCGAGATGATGACATAAGAGACAGAGACAAATAAAGATGAAAACATGAAAATCGCGTTAACCAAATAGGCCCACAGGGATAGGATACCGTTATGATTGCATGTTGGGGCAAGTGCCTCGTACAAGCATACATTAGACACGAGCAAATGCTCTGTTCAACGTTACTTTGCTACAAAATAATTATATTGCAACTAAGTTCACGAACCCTTACAAAATCGCATTTCCCAGGACACTGGCACCATTCCAGTGCTCCAGCCACCGGTTCCAAACGTTCCGTTTTTCCAATCTCGCGCGGACCCCTAGCACGCACCGTTATTTTGTTTACAATAGTTTTGGAATGGCAATATCGTGCGAGCGCGCGGATCCGCCCGCATTCCGCCCTTATTACCCCCTTTGTCCTTGTGCCCTGCTTAGAATATTTGACTTTGGGATTTATTCTAATTCCAATTGTTATCTTTTACTTAACATGCAATTGGAATGGCAAATACAAATGAGGTCGAACGATTCCGACGACATTGCGGCATAGTGGGTAGGTCCAGTTGGGCTCTTGATAATATAGTGTTTGTTTGATTTCGAGGTGAAAATACTAAGCGTAGGAGTAATGACTCCGTTACGATGTACAGTACAGATTCATCATTATCGTTATGTTATCTTCATTAAGAACAGCGAATCATGTAAAGGTGGTTAAGTGTAGACATAAATAAAACTATATAGAAAAATATTTGATATCATCAGACCTCAAATTAGTACTGAATTACAAAACAATCAAGACTTGCTAGTCAGAACGTCCCAAAAGCTCAGACTCCACTCAAAAACAAAATAAAGCACACGATTTTCGCTGAAACAACTAACATTTCATTTCAGAAAACTCTTTGATATGATCAACGCTCAGTGCCTTCATCATTAATTACGACCTTATTATGAGCGGTCATGACATCGCTCGACTTTTAAACTTATTCACATCGCGATCCGTCTGGCATAACAACGAGGATGCGGTTAGCATGTCTAGCCAAGTCACTGTTTTTCTATTTTGGTAAAATTGGAGACATTATTAGCTTAGCGAGGGCAAGTCTGATTTCTAATACCCAAATTAGTCATGTCGGGGTTCCTTTCTTTACAGAACGTATTTAAATAAAACAGCCCTGAATTGGGTTCAAAGTCGTGCATCGGGGGGGGCAGGTGACTCATAGTAGACCCGGTAGGTTGATAATTATGTTGGAAAATTGGGTTGAGTCGCACCTGTAAATTGTAGAACTGAAAAGGAACAAAATAATAATATGGACAAAAAGATTCCAGGGCAGGGCAGATGGGCAAAATCACCAGCTAATGTAATAAGATACGCTCCATAAATCGAGTCATGGTTAGCATATTTGGCTAGAGATACTCGAATTTCATCTTCGTATCTTTCTAGCTAAACGCTCTGTAGCGACCATTAGCCATGCCCCGGCAACGCCCTCTAAAAATGTGTCAATGAAGGATTTTCATCAATCACACTTCATGTATCTTAGCGAGTCAGCTCCAGGCATTTGAACTGCTTAAGAATCACAAAAAAGACAAAAAATATTAAGTACTCTCAAACTTTGCGAATACAGTTTCTGAAGATATACCAGCTTTGATTGAGAAGGCAGTACGACGTACATATTGCGTTTTAACAAGACCCTTCGGGAATTCGTGCTTACAAGAACGAGAGAGTATAATAAAATATTAGACTGTTAAAAAGAAGTACATATTATGAAAAACATAAGGATCTAGGCTTTTATAAAATGTAATTAGCCAGAATATGCCTTTTGGGGAATAAATAATACTTAATAAACGTTGAGAAAAGCATTCTTTTAGATGGAAAGTAACCACAACTTTTCACTACCTGTCTGAAAAAGACCTAGAGCGCCATCTACAATAACTTTCTACATTCACTTTTTCAGGGGTTTTCACGAAAGCGCGCTACTGCTGCCCTCTGCCCAGGGCTGTGTTGGAGTTTTACCAAACCTGAATAGATGTCGCTGAATGGTTTTTCATGGAACGACGCCATCTTTCGGAAGTTGTTTGAAAGTAACTTTTACGGGGAGCTTGCAAAGCTTTTCGTTTGAACTAAAAGTTTACGATGCAAAAGCTTGCTATGTAAAAGTATCGGTATCGCCGTCGAAAAAGTTAGGAGAATATTTTATTACAGCTCTTATACAGTATTGTTTTTATTTTTTCGGTTTTATTTTAGATCTTATAACACGTTTATTAAAACAATTTTTAGTGTTGACTTTCATTAATATTAATGCGCCAAGAGATAGCAAAACAGAAAGCTGTTGGCCACACACAAACCATATTAATTGAGTCCCTATAGTTGGGTTACTTTGTTGGCAATAATAATACAACGTAAACATACTGGATATAAGTACAATATCATTCTTTGAAATGGTTTCATTTCTTGAAAAGCTATCAAAACAAGAAAACCTACACTTTCGTGACACTTTAAAGTCAAAGCAATATCGAAGTCGATGGTTATATACCGTCGCTGCCAAAAAACACCGGCTGTAGTATATCTTACGAACACACGAAGAAGGGCTCTCGACCCAGAAAAACGATTTCGATGAAATCTAGCTACAAAAAAGCTGAAACTTTGCGCCTTTGTAGCCTAGGACTTAGAGCTCCGAATTTTGGATTGGGGAACGGAATAACATTTGAGTTTTGGAATATAAAATATCGTCATAATATACTCGTAGGTCAACGAATAGAAACTGCCTTCAGATGCAAACTAATATAGTATCTGTTTTTATACTCACATAATTAAGAGGATATATCTAACCAACTCTTCGTCTTTATCACTTTACACCTCGGCAACTATTTCCATTGCATCTTCCGACCAGTGCAACTTCTGCTTACACGTAAATGCTGATTAGTCTCAGACCCAATGTAATGAGGAATCCCACGTCTTACCCACGACTTAGTTCAGAACATTGTTCGTTTACCCTTGGCAAGGTGTTACCTACAATCCAATGGATCTGCATTTCCCCCCGCACTACCATCAACGGAATTGCCACCTATTATAAATCTATTTGCCGCCTCTGATACCCAGTTCCAATCTGCAGCGCTTATTGGCTCGTGTCTTCACGAACACTCATCACTTTAATGGCTCCAATATACCTCCTCCGGCCAAATGATATATTCCCACACTCGCACGCACGCGACCGTCGCGGTGGATCATCGCATTCAGTCGGGAGCTCGTGCATCCAGCACACGCTTCTTGGCAGATTTTAAATTTGCATTTCGGGCTCCTTAACTTAGTATTCATTCCGAAACTGAGAATCGCGTTAACTTGTTGCGTCAGTGAAGACCGCTTCGGGCAGCCAGTGTCGTTGCTATGTCGTGGATCGACTTAAATGACCCCGGTAGCACTAAGCTTCAAAATGTAGTACATTATCAACTAAATAGTATGCTAAAAGTTTACACTTGCAATAATTATGGTCTAGTAAAATTCTAGATAAGTATCTAAACTCTCTTTTACTAGATCTAGTGTCCTTTCTGATTTCAGTAATGTATATCAAATGAATCAGGATAGTTCAGAATAATCGAAGTGTCCCGCATAGTTCTGATAACTTGCACCATCCGGCATGACTCTAGTAAATAAATTCATCAGAGTAAGTTGCAAGACAATGAGATTTATAACTCTTTCTCTCTAAGATCTCTTTTATTACTTCGTGTCTCTTCTTTATAATTATACCTCATCTCATCATTGAGCTTCGGTCACAACATGTACAATGAAGTCTCAGTGTTCTTCAGCTCCAGCTCATTGGTTTATTTTGGATTTAATGTTACATTCTTTCTTTACCTTAGTGGTTTCTGAAGATCTATTCCAATAAAGCTCCAGGTTTAGGACCTTACTTATTATGTTTCAGTTTTCATTCATGCCATGAACTACGGACTCTGGTCAGTCGCTTTAAAAAGAAAACATTGCTGTCGGGTACAATAGGCCCATTTGCAGATCTCCAACCGTTTTCGTGTCTCGAGTCATGATGATATCTACGCGAAGATTTTCTTACCACCATCAATGACCCGTCTAAATCCGAATAGACCCAGTTACTGTAAAACCGTACTAACCACAACTTAATTATCATCAACAATCGGGTTTTCAATCCGCTTGCATATTCTATGTAGTTTTTTTTATCCATGTGTGTTAAGTTCTTCTTAAAATCTAGCATAGAGTCGCATGTAGCACTATTCTGCACCTATGTCGCTTGATCTACACACTTGCACCACCGCCGGCTTTTGTCGGCGGTGACATGACCGGCGGCATTCGCGGCCATGGCTCTGACGAGCGCGGTCGCGAACGCCGCCGCCGCCGTCGCCGCCGCCGGCGCAGGCAAAAAGGCCGCGCAGGTCCAGTTGCAGGCCGAGCTGAACACGGACGAGGAGTGGAACAAGTTCATGCAAAGAGATGGACTCCTCGGTGAGTTTGGTGCTCGAGACCAGGACAAAAATCTGTCTTTGTAGGAACAAAAGTTCAAAAACTCCTAATTTTGGTAGTCTTATCGGTCTAGTCCGTAAATAACAATAAACAGAATAATTTTCCGGTTCTTCTTTCTATAGTGTCCCTGTTAAACCTGGTGTCACACTTTATTACCAGCTACAGGCTTCTGACAGGACACGATTATACTTGGGTTTAAGTGCCCTCCGAAGCATAAAATTATTAGAAGTGCCTTTTCTGTAAAGTCCTTGTTGTCATATTGGTGAATATTAGACTTTTAATTGGTTTAAACGTGAGGCTAAAACTAAGTTCAATTGGTAAGTTGAAGAACGAGTATAGCACTCAAGTTGCAACCTTGTTTGATATTTGTTTAAAATACCAATTATTTTAGAAGATGGACTATAAAAGTGGAGTAATTAGGAGTTTACGTAAATTGGTGACTGAGGGCAAAGTATGACCAAGGTTAAAAGTTAACTTTAACGTATACGTGTATGACACGATGTGTTAATCATCTCCTATTTTTGATCTCTCTAATGGTTCCCCAGTGGTGGACGTGTATACGGAATGGTGCGGGCCGTGCATCGGCATGGTGGGCAACCTCAAGAAGATCAAGGTGGAGCTGGGCGGCGACAACCTGCACCTTGCCGTGGTAACGTCATCACAACTACCTTCCAAGTCCTTTGGCTTATTACAAACACTGCATGGCTTACGTATGAGATAGAGTATGTATCTTTAAAACTACATAGCTGCTGTGAAACCTTCTTATTTTGATCGTGGCTTTGCTTAGTATGAAGAATGATTGAATGGTGATACTGTTCAGTTCAGACTGATTTATCAGTAGTTCAGACAACGTATACAAATGATCTTTTCTGAAGAAATGTGGACCACTTCTAAGGATCAGTAAAACAGTTTTAGGCAGTTCAATTTATAGATTTCTGTTTCCTTTCCTTCACCTACCTGAACTCTGAAAAATAACCTTCTTTGACCGTACAAGCCATTTCAAATTCGGCCAAAGCTTACCGTGAGTGGGTGGTAAACGATTTTACGAGCTTTCAGCCTATTGCTTTGATAAGATTCCAATTTTTCGTAATCTACCGAACATAGAAAAGGAATAATGACTAATAAACTTTCTCAACTTTCTAACAATAGTAGATACTAAGTTGCTTGAGCAAAAAATGTGAAGGTTTTTAAACACCTATTGCTGATATCTTTATACGAGTGTATGTTTTGTATAAAATTATTTGAATTTGATGCACAATACCACGAAAGCCGAAAAATAAACATAAAATACTGCAAACAGAAATAATATGGTTCATAAATACCTCTTTAAGATGGCAGTTTGTCCGGCTCCTTGGTTATCACCTTCTACCAGTAGCGATTTGAACTTGCACGAGGGAATCTACAATTAAAATATACAAATTAATATCTATATAGGGCTGACCTGGTTTGGCGACGAGATTAGATGATAAACAAGCCAAAACTCTGGGAATCGAACCCAGAACCTGTAAGTCAAATGTGTAACTTTAAATGTATTTTTTGTACAGGCGAAATCAGATACCATCGAATGCTTGAAGAGATTTCGGAAACGCAGCGAGCCTACCTGGATGTTCATAGCGGTAATTGCTCTTTAACACAAATGCATGTAAAATGAAATGTAACGTAGAAAACAATACCATCACCATTCTATATTACCAATACATATAGTAAAATATCCTACATACTTTTTACAGTCAAATACTTATTCCCATGCCCTCTACAGAACCATTTATCATGACACCACCTCCTACTACAAACTTTTGAACAGCTGTGTCAAGTCACACACTAGCTTATTCCGCTCAATATTCAACCCTATCGGCTTACCTTAAAGTTGATTGTGTCTTGTAGTAAACCAAGGCTTTTATGCACAGTAAGGTGGTCACATGTAGAACGAATGTGGTGGATTGGCACGGCGGGGGCCGTATCGACCAAACGGCACTTTCAGCAAAAATACACATGTTAGATACGTCGGATATCGTTTGCATCAACTACTCTGGGGACACGCGAGTGTCGAGAAAGTTTACCTTCAAATACTAACTGCAAAAAGTTTACAAGTATCCCTTATGGCACCGATCTAGATATTCAGAGACGTGCAAAATACAAACATTACTTATATGCAAAACAAATGTTAGCAAATACGAATGTTTTTTTTTACACAAGGACTAGGCTGCACATATTTTGATGAAACTTTAGTTATACAGCGTTTAGTACGACATCACACCATTTACGCTATAAATTACATAGGTATTCTTAGAACTTCACGCGAGCGAACGTCAGCTCTAGTATAATAAACATAATAGAATCCTAATAGTGAGAAAGTAAATTGTGGATATTATAGCCGAAATCGAAATCCATGCCTGATATCTATGATCATTCTATCACAGGCCGGTCAGCTGCTGAACGTGGTGTTCGGAGCAGACGCCCCTCGCCTCACGAGGACCATAGAGCAGGAGCTCCAGAATGAGGAGAAGGCCAAGAAGGGAGAGATACAGAGACCGCAGAGAGCTCCCCATGAGCTCACGCCACCAGAACAAGTAAAAATAACTATAAATTTTACAGTAAAATAAACATCTCAATAGAATAGAAATCATTTATTTGCGTCAGAGACACGGCGCTAATGCTTTTAGTGATGACGAATTAAATGTACTCTAAACTCTAAAAGAAATCCCACCAAAAACATTCTGTAAAAAACTAGCCAAGTCTCGATGGAGCTGCTTGTTTATCTCTAAAAAGTAATGAAATCTAGACAAAGTCGTGCCAAGTCTATGGTTCCTTACTGCGATTTCTTTATTATTATAGTTAATGTTGTGTGACTTGGCCGTTGAACAATCTTTATTAAGATAATCATACAATAAGTATTATTGAAATACGCAGCTTTATTAAGCCTACAATTGACTGGTTATTAAATCAACGTTTTCCAAGTGGCAATTTTCCATCGCCAATGGGTAGCGGTTCTGGCGACAGATTGGTGCAATTGTGTCATGGATTACCTGATTTTGTACCCTTCAACGGCCAAGTCACACAACATTAACTATAATAATAAAGAAATCGCAGTAAGGAACCATAGACTTGGCACGACTTTGTCTAGATTTCATTACTTTTTAGAGATAAACAAGCAGCTCCATCGAGACTTGGCTAGTTTTTTACAGAATGTTTTTGGTGGGATTTC